GGCTTCCCTGTACAAGGTACGCCTTTCTTGGCGAAATCCTACGATGCAACTAAAGTGGCAGTGGGCAGCGTATCGCGTGGCACTGTCGGGCGATCAGTGCAATTTACAGTGGACGCTGGCGATGCGGGCGAGGGTAATTTGGAGATTACGATATCGGCAAAGGGTCAAAATATACCGACGCAGGTGCATCCACAAGGCAGTGCAAGGTAATTAGTTGGTTTTCTACCTCTTAACTTTTGGGGTTATATTAACCGGGCGGTCGCTTCCATTTTTACAGATTCTCCGTTTCGTTTGTGCCAACTGAAGCGTGTGAGCACACCATCAATGTCACCTTCAATAAAATGCCGGTGCCCGGCTGTCCGCTAACCGTGAACATTAGTGGCGGCATGTCTGGTCCGCAAGTGTCACTCGGTGGGCCCGGTCCGGTGCATCAGCCGAATTCTTTTGTTATCAATCACGCTGGCGGTCGCTTGGAAGACATCGAGGTCAATGTGGAAGGTATGTATGCGGTGAAGTTGTTGCACTCAGAAAGCTCCTCACCACTTTTTTGCATTCCCTATTTATTTGTGTGCTTGTGTATGTACTAATCCTGTTCACGTGAATCGTTCGCACATGTGTTCAATGTTTTCAATCACTCATTTAAATTGGAATATTTATTTGTATTATTTTTTTATTTTCTTAAGCCAAATTTTTTCACAACAAATCCAATATGAAAACTCACAGAAATCACGACTTTTATCAGCTAAGAAAATCTCAGATGGACTTGTCTGTCGAATCACGATATCACATACTCTCACGTGGCATGCAGTAAATAATTAATATTTGCACGTCTACTACGAAAAACAATCACTCAGGGTCTTTAATTTTAGTGATGAGTTTAACATTTTCTTTATTAATAACAACGTGCGATAGTAAATTTTACACAAAAAAGAAATTAATATATATATTTTTAGTTTTTCGTCAGGATTTTTTTAAATAGACTTTGAAATTGCAAAGCTATGTGGATCAAATTAAAGAGAAAATTTTGCAGAATTAAAAAAAAGTTTTTGTGCGTAAGAACGAATGGGCATTGAAAATTTGCATTTAAGAATTTCATGCTTGCATATCCTGGAAAATTTGCACTATTCATTTTTTTTTTTTAATTTTACGTCATGGATTAATACCATATTTCATTAGTAACCTCTTGCTAAATGACTATATCAAATTAGTACCATGTTAATAGGTATTTAAAAAATAAAAATAAATTTTTGTCTAAGGTAACTTTTCCTTCAGAGACGGTAACTAGGATCTGTCCACCAGTCACAACTTTAAATATTTTGTAGTATGTCTATGGAGATTATTCCTGCCTAGCTTTCAGTGAAAACGAAATCGTATAGGATATATTTTGCGGCTGAGTTCACGGGGTCTTTCTGAGTTCCTCTTGGAAGGGTGGCAGAAATCTGAGAACTCCTAAGCAGTTCTGCAGTGTATCCTCTAGATGTACTACAGAAAGGCTCGTGTCCGGGACCATGCATTCTCCTTTGGGCTTCACGTTTTGCGAGATAATAGTCAGCTCTTTCGTTGCCTTTAAGCCCTTCATGCCCAGGGACCCACCACAGCCTAACTCTATTATGGGCTCCTAGGCTATTCAGAAGAGTTTTACAACTGTCTACAAGCCTTGATGTCGTTCTAAATGAGTCTAAGGTCCTTAGTGCTGCCTGACTATCCGACATACTATTTATTCTGGCCCCGTTTGTCCTTCTCCGAAGACATTCTCGAACACAAAATTCAATTGCGAAGACTTCCGCCTGGAATATGGTGGGGTATGAGCCCATTGGCAACTTTTCTGGAACTTTGGTCCAATCACGCCTGCCTCAGTACTCCCGTCCTGCATCCTTGATCCATCGGAATACCATACTTGGGACCCTTTGTCAATCATAGATATTATCGCTTTACAGCAGTCCCTTTCAGGAATTCTGACCTTGTAGGGCTTGTCAAAGGATAATTTCGATACCATGATATCTGTGAGCTTGATAGTGGGATCATCCAGAAAAGACTTGAGAACCTCCAAGTGACCCCAAAGCCACTAACGTACGGCGCTCCAGCAGGCCTCCTTTTCTATCAGAATAGCTCCTGCGCATGCGCATAGCTCCTGTTATGGCCACACAGATCAAGCGGTGTAGCTTGCTCAAGGTGGCACCCGTACATGCTTGCTTTGCTTTTGGCCGCCAGACCAGTGCCGCATATGCGATAACAGGTTTCACGACCGTACTGAAAGACCAATATGTTAGTTTGGGTGATATTCCCCAAGTTTTACCATGGAGTCGCTGGCAGGCATAAAACGCCCTTGTAGCCTTGTTGGTAACGTTACGGAGATGTGAGTTCCAATTGAGCCTTTTGTCCGGAGTTACCCCTAGATACTTCGCCTCTTCTGAGAACTCAATTTCTGTCCCTGCCCAGATGGGTTTAGTCAAGTTGACATTCCTTCTTTTGGTAAATGGGACAACGGTGGACTTCTGCGGGTTTATTGACAATCC